TCAATAGATCTACCTAAGTTTATCACGCAGAGAAACTCCGAGCATAGCCCTCTCCATAGGTCGCTGAGTGACCTTGAGCTTCCTCATCCGGCCAGCAGTGAAGGACCACGTCTCAGTACCATAACTCATCACTGGCAACACGCACTGGTTGTACAGTCTCGTTTTTAAGTTTTGAGGTATACTTGACGAGAAGATGTGCCGTAATTTCCCGAACGCTGCCCAACGGATCGACGGATCTTTCTAGTAACCTAAAGAAAATCAACTACACTACACTGTTTTAAAACTCTTTATAAATAGGAATCAGCACTATACAGCTTTCATCTAAAATATTTGCAAAATCTAATGAGATCAGTCACAAAACCTATAAAATATTTAAACATGAATTCGCATCCATTTTTTTTCTGTTCGTAGCACAGCCCATGTCCAAGCATATAAGCAACTAGTTTCTCTGAATATCAGGTGGTCCTTTTATTTCTGCCACAGTATTTGATGGAATTTCATTGTACCTTTTAATGTTTTCAGTTTTGAAGGTCAATACATCTTTTTCTATTATTTGGTATTCTATAACATTTTCAAAAATTTTAATTAAACTAATGTGTTGCTTGTGCTAGAGGTCAGAGCACATGCTCTAAGCAACGTGAATCGTGCGCTTGTGGGTTTAAATTTGTTCCATCGTGTACATGACCACTCCAGTGAAACATAATGACACGATCATTTTACCGATCATGAAGAAGACTGCTTTGAGCCACGTGACATCTGTAAATTATGATAATTTTGAGCAAAGAAAACATTTTTTTCAATTTAGAATGAGAAATAAGTAAAAAGTATTCCTGATAGTGAGAGGTTTATGCATTCCATAGAAACCCATAAATGCATTGTTATTCTTGAAAACTAAAATTTAATTCCCGACCGAAAAAAAGGGTATCTGGCTCTTGTCACTCACGATACGATTACATATTTGCGCTGATATTCTTTGCGAACGTGGTCCTTCTCCGGTCAAACGCGTGCTGCAGCTACACAGCGTGGCCCTACTACATAAAAACCACAGTGGACTATTAGTAATATTAATAGTCTATTCCGGGCTGATAAAAAAGTAAGTGGTTGAAAATGCTAACGGTATGTTTATTTTTTATAAAAAAATCGTAAGATACATATAAATTCAATTTATTAAGATCAGGAGATATCTCTCACTCTCGGGCACAAATGCGGATGCCAGCAAAGCACTCCACAGATTAAGAAGCCGTAAATCAATGAAATTTTTCATCCCACTTTGTTAATGAAGTACATCCAGTCACTATGACGTAGGCGCGGGACCCGAAGTTGTTGTCGTGCAGAACCTGTTTGACGTGTTGAAGCTCGGCGGCCAGGTATTTGCTGTCACAGATCCGTCGTGCTCTTTGTAACAAAGATTTGCCCACGGTAGCTAACGGTGAACGAGTGAAGCCGGCCACAGTGGAGCGTGTGCCTCCTGTACTACCATATGTCAGAGGTGTCACAGCCAAGATTGGCTACATCTTGAAGCGAGCTTCTATTAGAACATTCTTCAAGCCGCCCAAGAAGATTAGTCAGTTCTTACCATCCGTCAAGTGCAATATCCCTCTACAAGATGCAGGAGTGTGCAAGCTGGAGGCTCCAATATATTTTGCGACCTGCTAGGTTCTAAAAAAATAATCTTGGACATGGCAAGCCGATGCTATGTGAAACAAGACTCGGATGGGTAGTCACAGGGTCTATAAATAATAGCTATGTATTGTGTTATGCTTCACTCACTTACAATTCAATGTAATTTTAATGCAAAAATAAATGTAAAAATGATCTTGGTACAAAATTAAAGAGGTTTTAGCAACTTGGTTGAGGTTACCTATAAATCATCATATTTTCAGGTGGAATAAATTGAGAAGATTACTTCGTTACAAATACGATACAACAACCAGATCGTCAATTTTGTGTTAAATCACAGTTAAAATAATCTTCTGTTGTATCGGATGCTTTACAGCATCCATAGTCACAGGGGTTGATGAGATATTTGACGTACCGATGTCATAGTTAGCGCGGCTTCCTTCAATTTTCGATTATTTGTTTTTGGTTCGATCTACGCAGAACGAGCTGAATGTATCTAATGTCTCACAGTGGTATGCTTGGGTTTGGATTTATCTTTATATATATATATATATATATATTTATAACTATAAGATCCCAAGAAGATGGCAGCAGCCATCCATTTTCTCTATTGAAATTAGGATGTTTTTTTTATTTCAGTAGCCTCGCGTTTTATCTTTCGTAGAAATGGGTGTCCTTATGTGAGGATTTGTGGTCTATCAAATCTGATGAAACGGCGGGGATGATTTTGAATATGTTCACAGACTGCAGAATACCCAGAGCGTCCGCTATATGTTCTTTTACGCGGGTTTTTATAGATCTTTTTGTTTGTCCTATGTAAGAGATACCACATTTACAATCAAACTGCATTCTGTATACTCCTGCATATTGAAGAGGACTGCACTTGACGGATGGAAAAAATTGACTAATCTTCTTCGGTGGCTTGAAGTATGTTTTAATTGAAGCTCGCATCAAGATGTAGACAATCTTGTCTGACATATGGTAGTACAGCAGGCATACGCTCGACTGTGGTAGCTTCACTCGGTCACTGTAACTTAGTTGCAGAGTACCTCCCGCGCTACTGGGGATGGGGATAGTCCACGTAATTGATATATGCATTATCCCCATCACCACTAATCCCAGCGCCACTACTCCAAATACGACTACACTAGGAAAAGCACACCACCATCGATTATACGACACGTGTTTCGCTTCCTCTAATGGAGTAGACTGTGCGGTGGCTGAACTTTAAGAACTTAGCAAATTGATTTCTAACATCTTTCAACCAGGAGATAGAAATCAGCGTTTTCAACAACTTAAAACAAAACAAAAACTGTGGTTGCCAATTAGCCTGCCAGGCGTGGCAACTATGGCAATGAGCTATATGAAGTAATCTATGGAGGAGGCCTATGTTCAGCAGTGGACTTTTTGATAGGCTGTAATAGTTGTTACTATATGTATACAAAATAATTAATAACTGGCAGTTCTATGCAAAACATGCTGATATTATCCAGAAACATTAAAGTCATCCATTGTAAAGCCTCTACACAAACGTGGCAACAGAAACGTTGTTAGCATTTATCGTCCAATTACCCTTGTACCTATACTTTAAAAAGTATTTGAAAAGTGTATGTATAAAAGGCTCCTAGAATTTTGCAATAAGTTTAACATTATAAATAAAAATCAATATGGCTTTCAAAAACATAAATCGACTAACTTAGCTATTCATCACCTAATCAATACATTGTTGACTAATATTAATGATAATTATTTGACTACGGGACTGTTTTTTGACTTGACTAAGGCATTTGACTTCGTATCACACGATCTATTATTAAATAAATTGGAAAAAATAGGTATAAGGAGTATTACGTTGCAATGGATTGCTTCGTTTTTAACAAATCGTACTCAATGTGTCACGATAACAAAATTAAGAATTAAAAACATATAAATCCAACTGCATTGAAAATATTAATGGTGTTCCACAAGGCAGTATCTTAGGGCCCATATTGTTTATATTATATATTAATGACATACCTGATGCGACAAGTCATGAATGTATTACATACGCCGATGACATCTCAGTTATAGTTAGGACTAAAAAATAAGAATTCAATATATAATCACGAATTGGACATAAATAATACAATTGATAATATAATTGAATGGCTACAAGCTCAAAATTTAAAAATTAACTTTACAAAATCAAATTTTATTCAGTTTAATAAGTCAAAACATAACCAATACAATTTCAAGCTAAACATTACAAATATCAATTAAATAGAAAAAAACAAAATTTTTAGGTGTTGTCATAGACCAGAATCTAAACTGGAAAGCACATATCGATGAAGTTTTTAATAAAGTAAACAAATGTTCTTACGCGCTCAACCAAATAAAAAAAGTGACTGACATAAAAACGTCTGTTATGACTTACCGAGCATATGCTGAGTTTATACTCCGTTATGGACTGGTGATGTGGGGTAATAGTTCAGATTGGAATCGGGCTTTTATTCCGCAGAAAAAGTGCATTAGGGCAATCTGCGGAGTACGACCCGATGAATCGTGTCAGCCTCTATTTAAAGGTCTTGGAATACTGCCACTACCAACAATATATATTTTAAAAGTTTGTGTTTTTGTGCAGAGACACAAACAATTATTTGAAAAAGCTTGTGAGGTACAGACTACTCGCTCACGTAGGGACCTACACAAGCTAGTACTTAAGGATATACCTAAATCACAAAAATATGGCAAAAGTTGCCTTACCATGTGTGTCCGAATATATAACAAACTCCCTGACGAACTTAAAACCCTAAATATTACATTGTTCAAAAAGAAATTGTACAAATGGCTGAATGAAAATAATTTCTATAGTGTAAAACAATTCTTGGAAAAAAATTAGAATATGTACTGGATAACATTTATTAAAAAAAATCATTTAATTATTGTAATAAATATAAAATAATTAAATATTGTATTGTGCAATATATCTTTGTTTAAGCTGTGCGACTATTACTAGGTATTGAAATTGACATTTAATTAATTATTATAATATTATTTCTCTTTATTAACTAAATCAGGTGACTAATGTACTTCAAATAGTTAAAGAAAATTTGACATTGTTTAAATATATTTGCATGCTATGTAAAATAAGCAAAACATGAGCGCTCGATTTTTACCTGTGAACAACATATATACCATGTTTTACGCACATAAAGATTATTATTATTATTAATATAATGCGTAATAATATGAGAGTGAATTTGTTTACTTTTAAAAAAATAATAAAATATATAAAATCCAAAGATCGATTTTATTGAAGTTGAACTTAGAGTAATAACATATTTAAATTAAATTTTGAACACTTGACTGTTGTCAATATTTTCTTAACAAACGTCCCCATTTTATGCTACGATATTATTATCAAATCCGTAATTTTCTTCTCCTTTCATTCTAATGTTTCTTCTTCGTCTTTCTTGTAGTTTTGTGCTTTTCTCTACTTGTTCTATGGTATCCATCAGTTGCAAATCTTTTGTTTCCGGCGTTTGAGTCAGGAGAGCTCCAGAGATAATGGCAAAACCTCCGAAGAACATTGATGGAAGGATGACGGATACTGTATTCTGAAATAAAAAAAGTATTACATACACTAGGTTGATCAATAAGTTTTGGAATAGGACACTTATCAAAATGTTTTAGAAATGCGTTCTGTTTTTTTTTTCAAATCTGAAATTCGTTAGTAGCTAAGGCCAGATAAAACTTAATCAAAAACTCCAAAACCCAATTCCTATCGTAAATGGAGAAACTCGAACTTTGTATTATTAACTATTGCTGTCTGAAGTTGTTTTTCTACAAAAATGTTTTTGAAGAATTGCAGTCTACTTTGGCAGACAACGCTCCGTCTTATCCTATAGTGGCATACTGATGCACTGAAATTAAAAGCGGTAAAACCGCCTGTAGCCAACAACGGCCGATAAGCAAGAAAACGTTAAAAATCGAAGAAGTTGTTTAAATAGATTGATTTGTGACCATCCGTTATTTAGCTTCTAAAGCTTTCGTTTGAGACAATTCAGTTTATTTGAACTCTTACCTTAAAGTTAAAAACTATGGCCGCGCACTGGGTTCCTAGAATGTTAACAGACTAAATTTAGAAATAATTTAAGAAGATCTAGATTCTTTTTGCACTTGTTTCGTAACCGTAGGTGAAACGTGGGTACATCATTTTGAGTCGGAGACGAAAAAACAAAGCAAGGTTTGGAAACTACCGTCTTCTCCACCAGCCAAGAGATTAAAGGTATCTGCGTCCGCTGAAAAAACAATGGCCTCTATCTTCTGAGATGCGGAAGGTATAATAATGATTGACTATTCATGTAAAGGAGAGACAATAACCGGAGATTACTAAGTATATTGATGAAAAAACTACGCGAACAACTAAAGAATAAACATCGATGATAATTGCACGCTGGATCCTTTTTCATCATGCTAATGCCCCCATCGATCTGATGTTGTAGGTGCTGCCATCGGAGTTGTTGAGTTTCATTTGATGCAGCATGCACCATATTCTCCGGACTTAGCTCCGAGTGATTTCACCTTTTTACCTACCTGAAAAAACACTTGCGTGGTATAAAATACGACGGCGACGATGAGGTGATGTGTCCTGTAGAGACATTTTTCGAGTCCCAGGTTTAAGCATTTTTTAAGAAAACTAACCAACTTGCAAAACTCTATTCAAGTTAGGTTAACTTAAAAGGCGATTACGCTTGAAAAATAAATACAATTTACATATACTTATCCCAGAGTTTCATTGGGTTTCCAAAAACTTATGGATCTAATTACGTTCTTATTAAAGGTTGTGGCAATGTGTGATAAGGTAATAATTGAATGTAGGTAAACTAACCAGAATTGGTGTTAAAGGTGCGAACATATTCCCAATACTGGAAGCCAGTGCGCATACTCCAAGTAAGGTACCCCGAACGCTAGTAGGGAACAACTCCATTGTGTATGTGACAATTCCGGTGTAGCATACGGACACTAAGAGCTTGCCGAATAGAAATGAGGATATTTTGAGCCATGTGTAATCTGAAATTGAAACATTTACGGTTGAAAAACATTTTTTTTATTTTAAGATTCTATATTGAGATTATGATGTCAAGCATATAAAAATGAATCCCTGAATGTTTTGCTAAGCGCAAGTCTCGAGAGCAGCTGAACTGATTTCGCTAATTCTTTTTTTATAATATTCCTTGAAGTACGAAGATGGTTCATACGGAGAGAAAAATTTAAAAAATTGCCTGAGAAAGTCTAAAAACAACACTTGTCTATATTCCCATACAAAAGATTTGTAATAATACTTAAAAGTCAATTTGCACTTTAATACCATACCATAAAGTTTAAGTGTTAATGGAGGGGTTCCGGGAAGGCAAAATAATTGAGTGACGTTAGTATCGTTTAAATATTAATGTCAATATTTGTGTAGGTATCATACTAAGAAATCAGAAATTGTAATTTTCATTGTGATTTTTAGTGACTATTGAAAGAATTTTAAGTGTTTTATAATTTTTGTATTTTGACATACCTAATGTAATTGTTGACTTATCAACTTTCTTTTTTCTTATTTTATCTTATTAGCTGACCCGGTGTCCCGAATAGCAGAATAAGTATGAAAAAAAAATAAAAACTGTTCTGCGGTACGAAGTTCGCCGGGTCAGCTAGTATAAATATATTCGTAAGAAGGAGTTTTGGCGGGAATTTGACCAGCGCCGGATTGCTGCTCCTTACATATCAAAATGCACTTATAATAATGGTTTGAAGTTGGTTTTGATATGTAACAGTTGTCCTATATAGTGTATTAAATGTCGATGTGAACTATTAGTGCAAATGGTGAAACAAGTGCTCCGATAGTGATACGAATCTCAACAAAAAAAAAAGAATACATTTATTCTAAGTCTATGGGTGAAACCAAAGAGTATTTAGTCACAACGTGGTGAAACCTTGAAAGTCCAAGCTTGAAATCTTGCTTGAATCCTTGGAAAAATGTATGATAATTTGCCCAACCTCGAAAGAGTTGCACAGAGATACAACCAAGAAACCAACAAAATGCATACCCTCAGGAATCCATGCAGACGCCACGCAGAGTAATCCGCAAATAAAATATCCGTACATCATTGGAAGCTTTCTTCCTATTCTGTTCATCAAATACATTGATGTTAGCTCACCAGGGTATGACATTACCGTTGATAGCATGAAATTCGTGTACTTATTCCCGGGCAAATACACCGAATTTACCATTAACCCATAATAAACAAAGCTGGCAGTAAATCTACAGAAGGATCCAATTAATACACGTTTCAAAATCTGTTTTGATTTCCATACATCCCTATAAGTCTCCTTATGTTCATAATTCTCTATTTTGAATTCTTTCTTTAGACCTTCTTCGTTCAGATTTGCTAATTTTTGTTTGTTTATATTGATATTATTAACTTTCGCTATATGTAGAAGTGTACTTTTTGCGTCCTTAACCCGACCATTGAGTATTTGCCATCGTGGACTTTCTTTGAGTAGGAATATGTAGGAAATGAAGATGATCGGAGGACTGTAAATGATTCGAATCAGATTCTTCCAGTAAGGCACGAACATTGCTATACAAGCGAATATTGATTCCCCCATGTAAACAGCGTACGCAAAGAGCACTCCAGATAGGATTCTGTTCTTTTTACCGCCAATTTCTATCACTGAAATTAATAAAATATTGCATGGTTAAAAAATAAAGTATTTTAGTGATGACTGATATAAAAGATGACACTAAGGTTTTTATTTTAACATTTTGAAATCAAATTATTTTACACTATGAAAAAGATGAAACAAAAATTATACTTTAAAACCATTAAATTAAATTATGTACATGAAAACATTTAAAGCATGTATGTACTTAAGTACATTTTATTTCTCTACTAGCTATTCCTCGCGACTTCGCCCGCGTGGAATTTACTACGATTTTGTGGGTTTTAATTTTTTTGCGCAGCACCCTTATACTTTTTCTAAAATAAAAGTATCCTAAGTTACTCCTTTAACCATCAGCTATCTGCCAGTGAAAGTCCCGTCAAAATCGATCTAGCCGTATCGGAGATTAGCCGGAACAAACAGACAGATTGTTTTTTTTGTATTGGTACCGTATTCATATGCATGTAGTAAAAATCTTTTATTTTAACATTACAAACAGACACTTCAATGTTATTTATTTGTATAGATGTATAGATATAAAATCTTACATGACCATCTCCTCGTCTATACAGGCTATAAAAGTCCACTGCTGAACATAGGCCTCCAATATAGCTTTTTGGGCTGGGAACGGCAGTCTTATAATTATTTCGAGTTATTATTAGTAAAACGCTACTGACCATCTTCTGTATCAGTTTCCCTCTGTCACTACTTACAACAACCAAAGAACTATATATTATGGGGTAGTTGATACTCTGACACCACCACTACTTGGTTTTGTACTGCTACTTGAATACACTCAACTAACATAACCATAAATCAAACCTTCACTTTCTTGATACTTCCTTGATACTTACTTGATTGTAAACACATGCGTGAGTGTCGTGAAACACTCTGTAGGAACGAGGTTCCTTTCGTAGTATATTATTATTGATAAACGTATTATATTATTGATTAACAAATACAAATAAATGAATTACTATAGTCTAATAAAATGAAGCGTCATTTAACATAAAATAATACTTCTTTCATGGCAAGATAAGAAAAAGTGCGAGGGAGATGGATATTATTCCATCTTGCTTCCTTATAGCCGCCAAGGCCGTCTGCAATACGTCAGAAGGGGTCGTGACGGTAAAATCTTACACTTTGTCTAGCGTAGTTCCCATCCGCCAAATTCGTATATATAAATAACTTCGTTCCAAAAAAACCGTTATAAGCATTACCCTGGAGTCCATCTCGATAGGTACCAGTCTCGTTAGGTACAGTGCCTGCCAACAAATAAGGCTAAGCGTACACTAGGCTCGCCGAGCTGAATCGCATTGAATCGCAGAAAGTCGCCTCCTATATATTTACTATGAAATTGCGTCCATTAGCGACGAGCCGCGGTGCGCCGAATTGAATCGACCGCACGAATTGCTTGACAGGCGAATTTATTCGCCGATGCGATTCGATTCAACTCGGCGCGCCTCAGTCGACGCGGAGAAGTGGATGCGTGCCAGCGTATTTGAATTAATTTCTATTTCGTTCTCGTAAAAATCTTTTTGTTTAAATAAAAATTAATGAAGAAGTATTGATATGACTGGTCCAACAATATACAGAATTGTTTAATCATGAAGATCCACATTATCACTGTCCATGACGCAAAAACGCCCTATTTTGATGAAGAATTTGCGACGAATGAACAATGCGATTCGATTCGTCAGAGACGGACGCGCTAGGAATAAATGCGACTCGCTTCGATTCGATGCATTTCTGCTGTAGTCGACGCCAGGCTTAACAGTGCTTGCACTGCTGTGTTCGGGTTTGAAAATTTAGAGAGCCAGTATAACAGGCTATAAGGCTTTCTACCTTAGTCCTCAGAGGGGACAAGGCATTTGTAGCCCTTTTTGTACGATGTTGCCTTCGGGCTTCCATAGACTACAACAGCCACTTACCATTATGTATACTGTACGTTTGTTTATCACTTCAGTATTATGAATAAAACTATAAAAATCTATGAAAGTTCTCAGTACAGAGACCATGGTCAAATTTATGTGTAGCAAGAACGGTTTTCAATTAAGTAATTTTGTTACTTACTTAAAACCATAGCTGCCGTATACGAGCCTCCAGCTACCGCTGCTTCAAGCATTTCAATGAATACGTACACATAGTACGACGAAGTGAAAGCCTTTAGATTTCCAATGCAACTTCCCACAGAGCAGATAATTAACGTTAGCTTACGGCCGAATCTGCACACACATAAGGTTCTATTTTACGAACTAGCAATTTCTGAGCAATATATAATATTATTGGTGTAATATTGGAATTAGCACGAAATGGTTATATGCATATTCTGTCGCATATAATATGGGGAAATCCCAGAAGAATTATTTGAATTCATTCCAGCTGTTGAATTTCACCATACGACAGAACTCAAAACTCCATTTTCATCATTTCGATGGTCGGCGATCTACTACCGTTCAATATACGCAAAATTTTCTGCTTTGTACGACCACAATGTGGAATTTACGGTCGTCAGCTGTTTTTCGAAGTGATACTAATTAGGGATCTTCAAGAGCCAACTCTTTTCTAAAAGGCCGGCAACGTATCTGCAATTCCCCTGGTGTTGCAGATGTTCATCGACTACGGTAATCACTTATAATCAGGTAAGCCATATGCTCGTTTGCCTCCTCTTCCGTAAAAAAGATATTATGTCCGTAAGGCACAAGGAAATTTACAATGCCTTTAAGTTAATTAATTTATATTGCGATAGTTTATGGCATACATATGCATATGCCAGCACCTGTCTTAATAAAAAAGTTTTTGTGAAGCTAAGCCAAAACGCTTTACCTTCTTTGGATATATAACCACTTACGATATTATAAAAGTCATGTACTCACTTTTAATATTATAAGCCCAGTGGCTTCTACTTGTTTCTATATTACCTATGTAAAAATATCCCTAAGGGAAAACCTAAAAGTAGAAGAAAAAAACGAAGTGTAATGGTCATTACTATTCATTGGTCTGTCCCATAGTTTACTCCTTAGCTTACCATATTATGTAGGTGGTGGCGGTGTTTATTTACGTAGTAGAACCACGTTACAGCTTATTATGTTTGTAGCACAAAAGGATCAGTACGACCGAAGAAGGACCACGCTATCTCAGAATAATAATTAAGTAAAATAGCAGCTCCATGCTGCCATGTTTTGTATGGTGAATGTAGAAAACCGGAGACTGATTTTACTGCAAACGAGGCATTCCATCTTAGTCCTCAGGGTGTCAATGCATCAGAATTTTACTCTTAATCGAGTATTGATGTAGATGTCTATGGGCCACAGCATTCACTTACCATCGGGTGGAATGTGGGCTCGTTTGCCAGTACTTTGCAAGCGTGAGTCCATTATCACACTACAGAAGATGGCTGTTAGTTGTTACAGCTTCCAGTAAATTTAATAAAACTATATGATACTAACCTATCTGTCAACCAACCGGATGATATCGTTGCTAACAGCATCCCAACATTGTGAATGGTCCCAATTAAATTATATTTCCACGGTTGACAGGCGAGATTGAGCTGGAAGAACATGTTGTGCTTTACTTTTTACAATTCTCAATTATTTGATGTTCACTTGCAGTAACAAAAACGGGAATCCTTTATCTTTCGCCATCGCGCTTTATGGCTGTAGTACAATGAATTTTGATCGAGAAAGGACCAAACTTGCACAGGTTACTGTGTTTCATATAGTGATTGAGGGGGACCGGTAGGCGTATTACGTATCTTGCAGAAGGCTAGCGATAGCGAAATTAGAGCAATAATTGCTGATAAATCGCAGATTCGTATTATGTATCAGCGATAATCATGCTAACTAGCGACAGCGCTGCCTTGTAGTTGCTAGTTAGATAGGGCTTGGTTATCGCTGGTCGAAAAATACGTATCTGAGATTCATCAGCAATTATTGTTCTAATTTTGCTATCGCTAGCCTTCTGCAAGATACGTACTCGTAATACGCCTACCGAGGTACCTTAAACACTAGTATACTTGTATTCCATCTTTATCTTCAAGGGTGACAACGCATCTGCATTTTGAGTCTAATGGGACGGTATCGATTTTGCGCTCACTAACCTACCTACTCAGCCTGGTACGTATGGACAAATATAATTAACGTATGTTGGCTAGCTCATTTTAGACTGACTTGTAATCATGGGTACTTAAATAGACCACTGATGATGTTTATATTGAATGTGTTGAAAGGAACTTACCGTAGCTATGACAGTGTTGTTAGTTTCGTACACCCAGTCAGTGCATTCTTCGACTGCATCTGTGAAACTTTCGTTGGTGCATGATTGTCCAACTACAAAATTCTCATTTAGTTTAGGTCTTGTGCATCTGTCAACAGTGCTGTTGGGCAACCACGTGGCGTTATAAACTGCGTATTGGTTTTCACATTCAGAGATACGGCATCTAAAATTGTTTAAGAAATTTAGACCAACAAAAAGGTACAGAAACACTCACCTCTGTCATCCAGAGGGGAAGGCAGAGACTACGGACTTCCATCTGAAACGATCCTGACACACCTCTCTCGCCCCCTTTACGTACATATATCTACGCATATATGCTCATTAATTAAGGGTACTCTTAAGCCGAACATCCGCTGCGAACTAAATTATGTAAAAACTAGGTTCAGTGAACTAAGCTAAGCTAAACTGGAAAATCTAAACTAATCTAAGCTAATCTAAACTAAGCTAAAACAAACAAAAGTAAGCGAAAGGTGCCAGATGCGTAAGGTAAGGGGGTGAGAGGCGCTTAGCTTTGTTAGTTTGACTTAGTTTGGCTATTTTACGTAGCTTAGCAGACATAGTTTGCGATGGACGCACATGTGAAAAACAGGCTGACCTATGCGAGCTAATATAAACTAAGTTAGTTTAGTTTGCGGTGGACGTTCGGCTTTAATTTGGCCCATTTTCAATATATGGCCAATTTGGTCCATAAGCTTTCGCCCAGGGCGTCCCTTTCCGACTTTGCCGTTCGCTTCTGTAACAAAGATTTGTTTGTCATTGTTTCAAAAAACGGTAGACATAACATTATGTACTCGTACATGTCAAGTGACGTGAAAACTATTCTTAGTTATGTACTTTTGTAAGATTACACACTCACGCAGTCCTAAACACTTAAAACCATGTTATTGGTTGTTTAAGTTACATATGTAATCGTGAGTATGAATCGTGTTTTTTTATAGAAAAAGGGTGACAAACGAGCACCAAGTTCACTTGAAAGTAAATAGATGCTGTAGCATATAGATATCTAACCTCGATTAAAAATCAATGTGCAGATGTGTTGTCGCACCTGTGGCCTAAGATGTAATTAATGCCTTGTTACCAGTAAAAAGGGTTTCCGGTCCTTTGTAGAGGACAGGAGACCCTTTCTACTGGTACTGAAAAGGAACGCGCTTTTCTACAGCATCAGCTCCCTAATCAGATCTCTTATCTGAAAGGATCCAATGAAACTGGAATTAGTCTGTTAAAGACGTTCTACACAGAAACACCAAGTTGCGTTCGGGAGGTCAACGAGGTGTACGTGAACCCCGTGAAGGAGTATCACAAGAAAGCGCCTGAGGTCCCTTTCTCAAAAGAAATGTTCAGACGGGGATTACGGGTCTTCATGTGGTTGCCCCGGTCTCGACGTCGTGATACTGGTTCTTCGATATATACTGGTATAACTGGTAGCTGGTCCAGAACGAATTACATGAAAACCAGTTTAATAAGGTACCTCAACGCTTTACTCTAAAGAGAGCCGCGCCCACTATGCGATTTTCACAACACAATTACGTTAAATTTCTACTATTGCACCCTCACGGATTGCCCAATATCTTTATTTGTATAAGGCATACATTTATACAATTTATTTATAAAGATAGCAAAACAAATTCTCTATACTATGATATACATTACATTTTAATATCACAAAAAACCTTTTATTTATTTAACAAAATATGCCTATTTTACATCATATGTACTATGTTAGAATTCTTAAATATCTTACATTTAAGGTTGGAACAATGTTCTTTATTCGAAAATACAAATATCTTAACTAACATAATAGTGTAATTCACATTTTTATACATGTTGTACACGCCCCTAGCTGCCCCAACAAAGGTCAAATATCCCGGGGCCCGTCAGGGGAAGATTCGACGGACAACTAAGGGTAGGGCTCTAAATGCCTATGGAGAGTTGACCTACACGATAGTGATAAGGCTAGGTAAATAAATAGTACATACCTGAATCCGAAGCTAAGACCGCCCCAAGGCTCGATCAGGCCGTAGGTAGGTATAGGTGTATGTAAAGTGGTGTGTAGTTGTGTTTATTTATGTGACCTGGCCTAGCTGAGGTGACCGGGCAGCGGCCTGGTCCCATGCTGCCCCAGAATGCTGCATCACTTCAGCAGGCGTCACCAAGTGACAACTTCTTTCTTCATGTCACTATTTCAGTCTATCAACTTTATTGTACATTTAACTAACTTCAACTAAACTAATTCAACGTTCACCGTAAAATCAAACACGTGATACCCGACACAAGTAACGAACAGTAGTTCAAAGTTCAATATTCAATGTTCCGGATTCATTTATCACCAAATTACAAATAGGGAACTAACGCGATCTCTTCACGAGTCACAAAGTCAGCGTTACAAACAACAACTAAATTTCTTCGTACGATATTGAATACTACGCCCGCATTAAGAATTCAAAATCCACCTAGCTGACATGCAATGTAACTAAAGAGTCAACACACAAAAGGCTCTTAACGCGACGGTACAATTGCAACGAAATTACTCTAATCACTCAAATTCAATATAAGCCTCTTGTCACGAACGTACATCTTAGACAAACTAATCCGAGGCGGTCTTCACGAAACCACAAATTCATTAGCGAATTAAACGCGCACAAATACTTAAAATCTAGACCAAAACCAAAACTGGTCGCGCGAACCGCTGCAGCGGTCACTACCAAAAACGTTAATCGACCGCGCCGCTGCACTCAAGCTACTCGTCTCGCCCACGACCGCCGAACGCCGGAAAGCCGCATACCGCTGCCCCCTATTTCAGTTTATCAACTTTATCGTACACTATTTCAATCTATCAACTTTATTGTACATTTAATTGACTTCAAACTCAACTAAATCCCCGTTAATCGTAATCAAACACGTGACACACGGCCCAACTAATGAACGGTCGATCAAAGTTCAACTTCCGTTTTCGGTTGCTTCTGTAAGAATGCATTACGCAGTAAGCAGGAGTGCTATCAGGCCTGAGCTGAGGCTTCGGCGGCTCGGGATGTAAATACCAGCATGCTTAAAAAGAAGTATAACTTCGCCTCCAGGTCCTTCAAAAGAGTTATTGCTAAGGCAAAGTCAGAGCACATAGGCAAAATTGGCGAGAAACTAGTTCGCCTTCCTACGGGGACCCGTGCATTCTGGTCTCTCGCCAAGGCTGTCCAAGGGAATTACTGTAAGCCATCACTACCATCTCTGCACAGGGAGGACGACTCACTGGCCCACGCCGCAAAAGAGAAAGCCGACCTTTTAGGCTCCCTTTTAGCGTCCAACTCGACTCTTGATGACGGGGAGAACACACCACCGACCATCCCGCGGTGTGAGTGCTCCATGCCGGATGTGCGGTTCTCGCAGCGATCGGTCCGCAAAGCACTCCTCTCCCTGTACACAAGTCGAGTGGGCCTGACGGAATCCCCCCAATTGTGCTGAGGACGTGTGTTCCGGAGTTGGCACCGGTTCTAACGCATCTTTTCCGGTACTCCTACTCCCTAGGCGTAGTCCTGAAATCATGGAAGACAGCTTTTGTCCACCCGATCCCTAAAAAGGCGACCGCTCAGACCCGTTCAACTACAGGCCTATCGCCATCATCTGCTTGTTCTCGAAAATAATGGAGTCCATTATTAACTGCCAGCTCATGCGGTACCTTGAGGAGCACCAGCTGATTAGTGACTGCCAGTACGGTTTCCATCGGGGTCGCTCAGCTGGTGATCTTATTGTTTACCTAACACATAGATGGGCGCAGGGGATCGAGTCCAAGGGGGAGGCATTGGACGTTAGTTTGGACATAGCGAAGGCCTTCAATCGGGTCTGGCACAAAGCGCTCCTTCGAAGCTCCCTTCCTGTGGGATCACCGGCTTTTTAAGGATTTCCGCAAAGTAACGCCTGATTCTATTAATTATAATAATAAAGTGTTCTTTATTTCAGACGGCCCCGCTATTCCTGGCTACGGTAGCGACCATGGTAACGGCGGGCCAGGCAGTCTCTAAAAAAGTGTCTGTAAAGTCTACAGAGAGATCTGTACAGAATGGAGACGTTGAACCAGATGTGCGAGATATATGTGGGAGTGTGCTATATTGTTGACTAATAATGTACTAGTTACTAATGCCTGATAACCTCACAATATGACTCACCGAAGGTACCTAAGGTGTCTATCGGGTTCAGTAATTAAAATCTCAAAGTCACTGATGTTGTATTCAGAATAATTACGGGCGATACAATATATTTCCTACTTAGTAGCGGCCCAGCTTGGGCTACGACGGGGAACGACTGGCGTTCGCCGTCGAGCGCACTCCGGACACAAGTGTAAAATGTCAAATCAGAAAAATGTATGTAACTACTGTGCACAGGATTATCATCCCGGTCATCATCGCCTAGTCTTTTAGTGAAGACACTAGAAGACTAGCTACCGCTCGCATCAGTTACAGGGGAAACTCAAGCTCATAAGTTAGCGTCGAAGATCCTTTCAACTAGAGTGAGAAGAGGTTGAGTTTGTCCAATTAGGTCACCTAGCTCGCCCAGTGTCGTAAATTCGGCGACGCATTTGTTCTGTAAAAGTTACATCCCGATAAGAACTACACCCTCCATTGGAGTGTCACATATCCCTTGTCCTTGTCAATGGGAGTGAAGTGTGGGATTATGGCCGCTTCGGATGATAACATAATAGCCACCAAGGCGTCTACATGCCCTTCTCGGTTATCACTAGGGGAACGAAATAAGGCTCAAAAAATATCACCAATTCGATCAGCCCCCGCGACATACTTTGCAAGAGTTAGTTCTGTGCACTAACGTGGTTGGTGTTTGCAGGAAACGATAACAGTATTAGCCATATTTAGTTCGCAATCATTGCCATTCACCACCAGTTTGCAAAGTTGGGGTCTGTGTAACTACTTTCGAGTCCGTTTCAGGTTTTACATCTTTTATCACCTTTTACTTCTTAATACGTGGCCAGTTCGCTGTTCGCTGCTGAACATAGCAAGCATTTTTTGTACGGCCGTTGTAGTGGCATTTAGCCGTAATATGACCATTGAGACCACAGAAATGAAAATTGCCAACACTGATCCGTCTCTGAGGTGCACTGTGCCCTTACGTGTCTGCCCTAACATCTATAGCAGCGTATATTCTAGGCTGCAGCATATGAACTTTCGCTGCCACCTACTCAACCATGAAGCGGCCGTCTCCTGCTATTTGCTTTACCACGATTATAGGACAACGCATGAGGTAGTGCCGGTGCCTACCATTACGACGAACCTCTCCTACTTTGACAGCTTCAACTGAACAGCTTCCTTGCCGTACAATGGTCTCGATTACCTCTTTGGTTTTAATAAAACCATACAGGCTGGAGATTTACATGTCTGCACATTTCGTTGGTCTAGTTGCCACATCAGCTGGTAGATACTCTTTCAACATCTTGGCTACAGAATTAGCCTTTTCCCAGCTTTTGCATCTGATACCTGTAATATGCAAGTTCCGGTAGCAGCCTGTCGGTACCTTTGCAAAGACATGCCGAGACTAGAGAGATCTATTTTGTCTTTTGCTTCGACCACCACTTGCATAGGTAGCCCCTCTATCCTCAGCCCCAGGCTGTAATGTGATTAGTTTAGCCGCGGACCGATGGCTTTAATTTCGAAAGTGATGGTTGGCTTGCTGGACTGTCCGTGCCGTTATTCCCAGCAACAAGTTGAGTTAATCACTGTCGACCAACCTTTATTTGATTATTCAGGCGCAGGTGGTAGTGACCCTTTGTTTGTTTCTTCCTGTTTACGTTTTGTGCTGGTACTGTCACAGTGATCAGTGGCCAACGAAGGACACATGCGCTTATCGGGAAGAAGCGTTTTGACAATGACTTCAATGCGTGCATTAACCATGTTTCTCCCTTAGCGCATGATAGCCCTCGTCAATTTCTCCAATTATGCTTGGGCTGGTGATATTACGGATCAACCTGAAAATTCAGCCCGATCAGCGACCCTGCAACTACTAGAGGGAGAAAGAAGTTTCTTTTTGGCTCGTGCCACCTCTACTCGGAGCTACGTCAATTCTTTACGAAGTTCATCGATCTCTCGTGGAGAGAATCTCCAACATGTTTGTTAAAATTAATCTTATGATATTTTTTTACAAATGAAATATAAAAATATACTACTTACCGATAGTTGAGGTCTCCAGCAACAAATACATAATTTATGTGAATCATTGTGATGAATATCGCCGAGAGACAAGCGTAAATATATTGGACCTTTTGATATTTACCAAATTTCTCCATTGTTTCAATAATTTCTATTTCATCCTTTTTACTGGTTTCAAAATTATCAGCACCCATTTTTAATATTATTTGTAAAATAGAAAATAAATCACCTTCCTCTTATATTGCCAAGTTAAGTGAGGCAATAGCTTTCTTTTTCGTCTTTCCAAATTTTAATACTGGTCACATTTGTATAACACAATAAAAAATTTCTTAATTTCTTTTTGCATTACACTGATTTACCTACTTGTTGTTTTGTTGAAAAATATAAAATTCGCAAAAATATTAAGTAGAAGTACACAACAATACGCGTGTGTCACGGAATGACAATAAAAATATAAACCTAGTAGATTGTTTAACTTTTATCTCTAAATACCACAATAAATGTTAAATCAACTCATAGAATATTATAATATGTACTGGAAATTGCTAAGACTTTTATCTGTTTGCTTGAATATATAAAAATAGCTTGATGAGAAAATCCTATGGAATTTTACTTTAGAAAGACAGGGAAGCAAAACTGTAAGATTTCATTACATACATTCATTACAGCCTATAAACGTCTACCGCGAACATAAGCGTCTTCCATAGATTGTATCATAAGGAGGATTTCGTTATAGTAGTCAGTCAGTCAGTCAGGCGGGTTTTCAAGTTGTTATCAGGAAGATGCGACTGCTCACCTTCTGTATCAGTTTCCCTCTGTCTGTCGATGACTTTAACGGGGTGATATGGGGTAGTGGATTTACTCATATCGCCAATAGACGGTAATGTTGTAACATTCTTATTAATATGCGATTGACTGGTTACCAAGGTTTTCTCCTTCTTGCTTTATCAGCCTGTACAACCCCATGGACATATATCTCTTACAATATAGCAATTATCTGTATTTATTGCCACGCTTTGCAAGCGGAGTAGCGATCGCAATACCAGATATATAGTCCAAAAGGGGTCATAGTTGCTTCTACACCTGGCATATTATATGAGATGTTATTCCGCTATCTATCGTAGGGCATGTAATGTTTCTGGTATTTCCGAAAGTCATCGACAGTTCTTGCATTAGCATAAAGTTGCCTGTGCTGACAAGAGCAAAAAGCCCAAAGTGCATGAACTCATGTATAAACTTAGCCAGCAGTAAAGGACCACGTCTTAGATCCATTAGTCATCACTGGCAACACGCACTGGTTGTACAATCTTGTTTTCAAGTTTTGCGGTATATCTGAGGCCCCGCACTAGATGGAGTGATGACTTGGTAAGACATGCAGTAAGTTGATGGATGCGGGTGGTTCAGGACGTGCTTTGTGGCATTCCTTAGGGTCCTAGGAATGCCACAAAGCACGCCTACATGCTATAGCACGGTATATTCAGCAGTGGACTTGTGAAGGGCTATGATCATTATCATGATGATGATGACGATGACGATAAATGTGAAATTATTATAATTTATAAAATGATTAATTATGTTGCATTTGTGTATTAATTATTTATCGTAGATTCAGGTCAAGTTTAATTATTGTATAATGCATTGATCTAAACGTATCAATATGTTGATAAGTGCTTATTTACTCGTATACCTCTCATAGAATAGATACGCAAGCGTACACACCACCCGACAGTGTTGGCTATGGCGCTTACGTTGGGTAAGTATAGAATTTTTAATTACAAAATAATTCTAAAATACCGAATCTTAACGTTATAAAAACACACGTTTTGAGACATTTTATTTAAAAATAGTTGTATGTTCCCTAATTTTTGCGTCATATTTTCTGAATCACAGTACACGACTGAGCGTAGTTTTGTGTAAAATATTTGATGTTTGCTTGATTTTCCGCATATTTTTGATTTCATTCTTCGTCTTCATCATGAGTGTGTAAAAGCTCACTGCTGGTAACAGGGCCTCCACCGTTGTAGAGAGGATTTGTCTGAATCGTGAGTATTGGTAGATCGTACGATCACGATCGCAGTGCCAGATGTCTCAAACATTTGACGCTGCTTCCCATCACCGATATGAGCATTTTACGTTTAGCGTAAGAATATGGTTATGCCGCCATACCGCCACATATCAAGCCGTAAGATCTATCTGGCCTTTCCAATAGTCACCTTCTTTAATTACTGACAGAACGATATAGATTGATTTTTTCAGCCCCCCACCACACCTATTAGAAATTTCTGTATTCCCGGTTGATTGAATTTTTAATTATGAATCTTGATTTTTTTTAAATATAATTTTTCATAGTTCAATTTTTTAAAACAAATTTTACTTTAAATTTTATATATTTTCAGTGCTTTTCTGCATTATCTTGTGTTTATTGTATATGAGTGAGATGAAAAATATGGCCGACAGTGACACAGGACCAGCAAAAATTACACATATGAGGTGCAAGGAAAATTAAAGAAGATAGTTATTGTAATAGGTACTGAATGAAAATTTCGTATTTGAACTTCCATTCAAAATTCAATGTATTAAAAAATATTTTTATTCTTTTTATTCTATATTTTTTGAGCATCAACATGACAAACAATATACTCAATATGCTTACAACAACGGATTCAAGCACAGAACAATATTTCTCTCTATCGAGAGGATTCAAATTCAAGACTTAAATTTAAATGTTGCTACACTTATATTATAGGGTAATTAGGGCATGCACAGTTTAAAAACATAAGGATTTTGATTATGGAAACGAGAGTTAAGTTACACAAGAAAAGGTAAATGCAGAGTGCTTAAAATTATTTGTAATATTATATTATTCTTAAGATGGAGTGGAAGATTGAGCTCGACATACAAGATTTTAGATTTATAAACATCATTAATGTATTAGATTTCCGCAAATGCTCACAGCCTTGCTTTTTAAATCTCATAATCTCTATAATCATGTACTCTGACTAACTGATTTTCGAAGCGCACTGACTTAATTACACAAAACTTACTCTACTTATTTACTAACAATAACTAATTTAAAATTAAATATTTTGTACAACCGACTTCAATATAAATTATTAAGAATAACTCAAAAACTATTAGTCAGACCTTGATTTATATGGGACTACATGAGAAGAACTAGCTTTCAAATAAAACAAGAATCATCGAAATCGGTTCACCCAGAAAAAAGTTATGAGGTAACACACACATAAAACAAACACACAGTCGAATTGAGTGCCGTCTCCTTTTTGAAGTCAGTAGAAAACTCTCTGCCTCTACAGACCACGGTTTGTCACATTGTAATCAGACGTAAAGATAGATGCAAGCAACTCCACTCCATTTCTGTATGAATTACAAACCATGCCGGAAACAGATTGGTTCGAATACGTGTACACTCTCCGAAATGTAGGTATCCTATAGAACAATTAGAGAGGCTGGCTGTTTTCCGCCTGTGCTCGAATTCATAATCCTCATAGATTGCCTTGCTATTGAGTCCTAAGCTAATTTAGTATTTTGCTGCACCAACCCATGTGGCAGATTACACTACGATCAACAAGACTTGCGTTTCTTGTAAAGCAATCAGCTGTCTCGGCGTAAAGCGCCGCAGCACCTTTGTATGGACACCTATTTTCGAGGAAATATTTTTTTAATATTATTTTTTATATTCTGAATTGCATTTAAATGGACATAACTAATGAAAGTATCTTCTAGATTTTATCAGTTAACCAATTGATAGAAACATTTCTCTACTCTGACTCGAACGGCGGTTAGATAACTCGTAAACGCCTTAGAGGTGATTTGACGATTGGTTACCAAATCATTATTATTATTATCATCTATATCATTATCATCATCATTATTTCATAACAGCTAAAACAGACATTCTATCTTAGTCCTCACGGGTGACAACGCATCTGCATTTTAATTCGTAAACGAAGATAGATGTAGATGTCTATGGGCCACAGCAACCACTTACCATCAGGTGGGCTGTGTGCTCGTTTGTCACCCTTATTCTATAAAAAAAGACATGCACAACAAAAACATATTTCTCCACCACGCAGTTTGTTGAGAGTTGTAAATTATTTCAATTTTGAATCAACACTGCAAACGTTAATAATCGTTAAACAAATATTACCCGTTTGTTACTTCATATCAGTAATGGTAAAGTAGAGATATTAACTACAAAATAAACAAATTTTCGTTCTGTATAATCGCAATTAAGTAATAAAGCGTAAATCTCTTAATAGTACTTTATCATTACAGACTTGAACCCTTGTTAAGGCTGTCATAACTCATTACTTTATAGCCGACTTCAGAAAATGGAGGAGGCATTCAATTTAATGTTTTTTTTGTATGCATCTATGTAAATAGGTTGTAGTGGTCCCATATAAATTTGGATAAAAAATTCCGCCCTTAAAGATGGCCTAATAAAGGTTGAAGTTTTTTATGTTACAAACAGGTAAAAACTTATTATTATAGTAGGTGTTGGCGGCGCGCTTAAAAAATAGTTTATCATTTTTCGTTTCACAAAAAATAAACAATTTCATATTTCGAAGATATTGCTATTAAATTGTATAAGGCATTTCGAATAAAGAGATAATCTAAGTTAAAAGTAAATGCTACTGTGTTTCGTATGGTGAGTGTGGAGAACCGGATACCCTTTTTACTGGAAAAGAGGCATTCCATCTTTGTCCTCATGGGTGACAACGCATCTGCACTTTGATTCTTTATTGAGGATAGATGTAGATGTCTATGGGTCACAGCAATCACTTACCATCAGGTGAACTGTGTGCTCGTTTGTCACCCTATCCTTTAAAAAAATATATTATATATTTAGATTATTTTAGATTTTGATCACATTAATTTAGAGTCATGTGTTACATTGTAACCAGCTATGCAATACGAATAAAAGTCTTATATTAAATTAGATGCTTATTTTATATGAAAGTATATTTTGGCTCTTGTGAGATATGATTTATTATGGCTGATATGGAAAGCATATGTAAACAAATATTGTTTCATAATGAACAGAGATAGATGTAATTTAGGCAAAGAAAGCAATAGCCTCCTACCGATATGAAAAAGGTCGTGTAGGAATTGGTTGATCATATTGTATGGGTATATGCCATACAATATGATCAACTGGGTCCAAATAATA